ACCTGCAGACTGAAGGGTACCGGGTTCGATTCCAGTCAAGGGTACACGCCCCAGGTTATAGGCTTGATCCCCAGTAGGGGGCCATGCAGGAGGAAGCCAATCAATGATTCTCTCTCATCACCGTTTCTATCTTTCCCTCTCCCTTCCTCTCTGAAATCAATAAAAATATATTTAAATAAAATAAAATAAAATAAAAGACCCTGGAGTTAAGTCAGGTATACAGCTGTACCACAGTGGGGCCATGGGTTTATCCCCTGAACCCTGAGGGTCAGGATCTGTGTTGTAGTAAAGGCAGGGGCAGCAGCAGCAGAGGTACTAAGAGTCCTGGGGAGCCTTCTGGTATTAGAGGGGTGGAATGGCTGCCTTTCCTTCTCTTCTCTTTCTCTCTATTTAAATAACTGCTCTTTCAGAAGTGACCACCTGATTGGCACCTCTTGTACAGGTGTACTCACCCTCTTCAACCCTCATCCCTGGAGTATGTTCTCAGCTCCACTCCAACACACAGATAAATTCTGGCAAAGACATCAGGACCATGTTAAAGAGGGCCCCGATACCATACTCTCCCTGCCAGTTGCCAGAAAGCTCCCACTCTGGTACATAGAAGTGAGGCTCAACAGGCTCAGCAATGCCATATGGGGCAGCACAGTTCCAGCACCATCCGCCCAGCACCCAGCAGCCACAGGTCAGCAAGTCTGAGAAACAGAGACAGACCCACACGGCTGGTAATGTTGGGATGTGCTGTTTCTGGCAGCAACTTCAAGTGTCATGTTCACCTGCAGAGGTGTGGATGAGAGTGATGCTGGTGTGTCACACCACTCACACCCACACCAGGAGAGCAGGACAAGCCTTACACCCTAACTGGTTTGGCTCAGTGGATAGAGCATTGGCCTGTGGACTGAAAGGTCCCAGGTTCGATTCCGGTCAAGGGCATGTACCTTGGTTGCAGGCACATCCCCAGTGGGGGGTGTGCAGGAGGCAATTGATCGATTTTTCTCTCTCATCGATGTTTCTAACTCTCTATTCTTCTCTCTTCCACTCTGTAAAAAATCAATAAAATCTATTTTTAAGAAAAGCCTTAGGACTCACATAGAGGTCTCAGGAGGGCCAGGCTGGCCTCTCAAGCAGCTGAGACCTGGCTTCAGAGCCAGAAATGGAGCCTGGTGTGGTCATGTGGGGCTTCGAAGATGGGTCCTGAGCAAGCGTTCTGCACAGGCAGGGATTCTGTGGTTTGAGTCACCTGCCTGCTAATAGGAGACACCACCCAGGCTTTCTTACCAGCTTGTTCAATTGGGAGGCAATAGGGACAAGAGCGGCTGAGGCTCAAGCTGTCAGCAGGCAACCATGAAAAAATGCCTCGTCCAGCTGCTTACCACAAGGCAAGAAAAACCCTGTGGAGTTTGCGCTCTGCTGAGGAGTCAGCTGCCGGGGCAGGGGTGTAGAGGTCTGTGCAGACTCTGAGGTGTCAATGACTGAGCTGTGTGGCTCCGAGGCAGGGGTCATTCCCCAAAGTGTCCCATGAACCTGACTATGCCTCCCTCAGGAGAGATCCCCTAGAGACCCACTCTCTGGGCTCCATGCAGCCCCACCCGCCCGACTCCTGGTGGTTCCACCTTCCAGGGGTCTGGGCAGAATCCAGGACAGACTGAGTTGTTTGTGCAGGGCTGAGGGCCACTCCACCCACCTTCCCAAAGCTTCATGGGCACCTTCCCCCTCAAGGGAGATCCCCTAGCCCCACCCTTCTGACTCTACGTGGCTCTGCCCTGCAGAGATGGGCCTCCTGGAGAATCTGGCACAGACTGAGTTGTGTGGCTCTAGGTCTGGGGCCATTTTTCCTTACCAGATACGACCCATACAGAGTCCTTCCTTCACATGGCCAAATTTTGGTCTGTTTGCGCCTGATGAACTCTGCTGGCCTCACCCTGAGGACTTCCTGAGGCTCTGCCCCACCACAAAGGTGTGCGAGCATCCAGGGGGAGTGGCTAGACTTGGTATACACTGGGATGTTTGCTAAGAAATGATCAAAACTGCATTGGAGGGGACTGGAGTAGCAAGTGCTGGAGGGACCAGCATATGTGGGCAGTGAGTCTTAAGTTGGACTTTTCTATCCTGCAGATTCATTTTATTTATTTATTTATTTATTTATTTATTTATTTATTTATTTATTTATTTATTTATATGTGTGTGTGTGTGTGTGTATGTGTATTTCAGAGAGGAAGGGAGAGGGAGAGAGAGATAGAAACATCAATGATGAGAGAGAACCATTGATTAGCTGCTTCCTGCATGACCCCTACTGGAGATCAAGCCCACAACCCAGGCATGTGCCCTTGACTGGAATTGAACCTGGGACCCTTCAGTCCACAGGCCAATGCTCTATCCTCTGAGCCAAACCAGCTAGGGCCTGTAGGTTTATTTTTTTTAAATGTAGAAATTCATATTCTTTATTTTTATCTTTTGCACTTAGGGAACCATTCTAGGCTTTAATTCCTTTAAATAATAACAGGTACAGACCTGTTATAATAACAGATATAAACCACACAAAATGTAAATTTCCCAATCTCTTGCTAAGAGGATATTCATCTAGTTTGCCCTTCCTCTATGTCTCACAGGGATATTTTCATGAATAAGTAACATATTCAACAATGCAATAGGGGTATGAGTTTAGCTCCTAAAATGTATTGACGTTTCAGAGCTTTACATGAGCTTTTAATAGTTGTCCTCACATCAATTAAAATAAAAATGCAGTTGCTACCATTTTAAATGTTAGAGGTCTCTAGAGACATGCCCAGACAAACACTGATCTAAAAGTAATAAAAATGTGCCTGAAAACTTAAATACCTTCTTCCCACATCTTGAATTTCTATAGCCTAAAAAAAAAAAAAGAAAAAGAAAAAACTATTTGCTTTTACAATTTCCTTGATTTATTCACCTTGTACCCTTCAATTAACCGATATTGTCAGAATCCAAGCGCTCAGGGAAACTAGATTCAAAGGCTGCACTATTCGGTGGATAAGGGACCCAAAGGAAAGAAACACATACGTTGGATTCAGCTCAGATGAGCAGCCTGCTCCCACAGGACAGAAGGGGAGCCACTTTCAGAAGGTTCCACATCCTGTACTCTCCAGATTGAGACAGAAAGAACCCCTGGAGAGGGCCAGTCCCTGGGGGAGGAGCGAGGGACACCTGAGCAGCCCCAGGAGTGAAGCTCCAACCCTCTCTTCTCCCCGGGGAATAACAGAAATGTGGAGGTAACCAGTTGATGTGTCTCTCTCAAGTCAATGTTTCTCTCTGTGTATTTTCCACTCCTCTCTCCCTTCCACTCTCTCTAGAAAACAATGGGGGAAAAATACCCTGGGGTGAGAAATAAAAAAGTTTGTTGTTGAACAATATGCTTTTTTTAAAAAACAACAACAACAACAATATGCTCTTTTATGCAGGCAGCAGCCTCACAGGTCTGGTGTTGACTGTGCCTTTTGATTGCATCATTGCCTCCTGGGCTTGACTGAATCTGTTTTTTGTGAATTTCCTGGCCTAAGTGTACAGTGTCATAAAGTCTACAGTCATGCACAGTAACGTCCTAGGCCTTCGTATTCACTCACCAATCACTGACTCCTGCAGAGCAGCCTCCAGTCCTGCAGCCCATTCAGGGTCAGTGCCCCACACGGATGTACCATTTCCTACCTTGCACACCACATTTTTACTGCACCTTTTCATAAATGCTTCCTACCATTGCATTACAATTGCTTACAGCATTCAGTACAGCAACGTGTTGTGTTGTACAGGTTTTTAGGCTAGGAGCAAAAGGCTATACCATATAGCCTAGGTGTGCAGTAGGCTACACCATGCAGGTTTGTACAAATTGTGTAAATTGCCTAAGATGTACTCCCCAGGCTAAAGGGTATATGAGTGTATTTTTTTTAAAAAAAAATATTTTTTCTTTTTTTTTTTTTTCTTTTTTTTTAGGGTTAAGTTTTAATTGATTTCAGATAGAGAAAGGTAGATGGAGAAATAGAAACATGTTTGAGAGAAAAACATCAATTGGTTGCCTCCTGCAGGTCCCCTCCTAGGGATGGAAGCCCCCAGTCCTGGCATCCTGACCCTGAACCCTCCTGATGCATGAGAGGATGGCTCAACCAACTGAGCACACCAGCTGGGTGTGCAGTTTCAACCTCTCCCAGGAATAAAATTTTATACCAATCACTCTGTAATTCCTAATCAAGACTAATCTGCCTAATAAGACTCCAGCTGTTCCTTCCCCTAAGGAACGGTGACCCTGCCTGAAGCAATCCTTTAACCTCCTAATGCAACTTCCTTTCTGCCTATTGTAAACGCCTTCCATTGTGAACAGCTCCTCTGAGATTTTATTTTCTAGATAAGATGCTGCCCTTTTCGGGAAAGGGGAATCAAGCCAGTTAGACCTTCCAATTTACTCAGTTGAATTTTGTTTTTAACCGTTTGAAACACCAAAAAACAAATAGCTGATAAAGACGCTGTGACTCAGAGAAGAAAGATGGCGCTTAGGATTCGGGAGAGAGACTGGAAATGCAGGCATTTGCTGCAGAGCTAGGCCTGGGGGACAGGGGGTGGACTTGAGAGCCTGCTCCACAAGCATCAAAATTCAGGAGAAAACGGGGTCCTTCTGGGGACAAAGGAGGGACAGGGGACCCACAGACCACAGCTCCTCCCATGCACGAACCGCGGGGACCGAGTCACCATTGTCCCCATGACCCTCCCCGTGGTCCCCGCACCGACTGCGGAGCCGCGGGGATGAGGGTGCAGAGCTGCCCAGACGCGCTCCGCAGCCCAAGGCCCTGCCGCGGGGACACACTGGACGCCCGGGTCCCGGCTGGGCCCCACCCTGCGAGCCCGAGGGGCCTGCAGTTTCAGCGGAGCCCCCGGCGCCTCGGGTCCGCAGGCTCCGGACCGGACCGTGGAGAGACGGTCCCGCCACGGCGGCTCCACCCGCCCCTCCTCCCCGTCCCCGCGCCCGGCCGCACACTCACCATTTCTGGTTCCTGGGCCCCCCGAGTCCCGCCTGCAGCTCCCAACGCCTTACAGATCGCAGCTCCACACAAGAGGGCAGAGCAACCTTAGGTTTTAAGGGCAAGAAAAGTGCCGGCCGGATCTCAGCCGGAGCCAGCAGGCCTTCCACGCGGTTGCAGCTATAGGTGCCCCCCCACCCGCTCCCAATAGCCCCACCCACCTGGCGCCCAGCTCAGATGACCTACACTTCGCACCACACGCCCCCTAGCGCCTGAGGTGCACAGGCCTGAGCCCAAAGCAGCCAGATCTCCTGTCCAGGGACCTTTGCACTGAGAGGCAGCGCTGAGATTCCCAGGGAACAGTGGTCCTTCCTTGCAAACACACACACTGAAAAGGCACCTAAGGAATCTGGCTCCATTTTCATCTTTGTTGACACTGGAGTCTGACTTGTGGATTTACAAAAAGGTGCACAGGCTCAGGTAGTAGGGATGCATTAGGTGGGCATCTTTCCAGAACTACCGTCAGATTCCCAAAAAGAGCATTGAAACCAAAAACAAGCCATCCTTTCCGTGGAAAAAATAAAGGTGACTTCTGGATATTTAGAATGGTTGACTTTTTAAATATATATATATATATATATATATATATATATATATATATTTGTATTCATTTCAGAGAGGAATGAAGAGGGAGAGATAGAAACTGTTAGGCACATTCTTGCACTCCGTTGTGCCCTGCTGGGGGCTCTTGCCCCTCCCTGCGATTTTCCTGTCATTCTCATTGTAGGTTTCATGATAACGGTCTTCGGTTTGCAGTAAACCGCCTCACCCAGTTCCCAGCGGACCGCCTACACCTGGCCCCCACCTGCACCTGGTCCGACTGGGTACTCTGACTGACCTTCACCAGAGACATAAATATCCCGCTCTCCCTACTCTGCCCGGCTGACGCCCACACAATAGTCTCAGCCGCTGTGAGACAAGGTAATAAAGTTTCTTAAACTCTCACAACGTCTCTTGGCCTGGCTCCTTTCGGCATGGATCTCACAGAGACGTCACTGATGAGAGAGAGTCATTGATCAGCTGCCTCTTGCACACCCCACACTGAGGTCTGAGCCTACAACCCGGGCATGTGCCCTGATCAGGATTCGAACTGTGACCTCCTGGTTCATACATCAACGCTCAACCACTGAGCCATGCCGGTTGGGAAGAATGGTTAACTTTAAAAAATGGTCCTGACATACCCTCCCGTGTGGCTCAGTGGTGGTCACAGTTTGATTCCCAGTCAGGGCACTTGCCAGGGTTGCGGACTGATCCCTACTAGGGGGCGGAGGCAGCCCTGGAGGATTCTCATCATTGATATTTCTATCTCCCTCTCCCTTTGCCTTCCTCTATGACAATAAAAACATATTTAGCCCTAGCTGGCTTTATTCAGTGGTTAAGAGCATCAGCCCTTGGACTGAAAGCCCATGAGTTCCATTCAGGTCAAGGGCACTACCTTGGTTGTAGGCTCCATCCAACCCCTGGGCAGGCGCCTGCAGGAGGCAACTAATGGATGTGTCTCTCTCACATCCATGTTTCTCTCTGTCTCTATACCTTCCTTCCACTCTCTCTGAAAATCAATGGGGAAAATATCCTTGGGTGAGGATTAACAACATGTAAAAAAAACAACAACACATGTTTTAAAAGAATGTAAAAAACAATTTAAAAGACATTTTTAATTAAAGAGAGAAAATGTTCCTGACATGGAAAATACAAGTAGGTGGTTAGGTTTTCTCACTTGTGACTCAGTCACTTACTTGTGGTTACACTGTTTAATCCACAATAACGAGACTTAGAAATCTGGGTTTCATCGAAGTAATAACCCCCCTGATTGGTGAGTCTGTGATACGAGCATAACATTCATTCTGACAATGATGAAATCACTCCTTGCCAGGCATCCTCTTCATTGGATGAACCAGGTCAGATTCCTGGCTCTGACCATTGCCTCTCTCCAGTCCCTGAGGAAATGCTCACCTTTAGTATCATCCGAGACAAACAGCCCCACCCAAACAGCTGCAATAACCCATCGAGCCTGGGACACAGAAGAACCTGGAGGCCACCTGACACAGGCAGCCTAGGGCAGAGCCACAGAACCACAGGTGACCTCAATGGAGAGAGGAAAGGAGGGCACACGTTTCACCCAGGACTCAGCTTACCAGGAGGCCCACACGGGGAGGAGCGGCATCAGTCACCATACACAGCAGGATGAAAGGTCTGTGAGTATTCACCATGAAGAACTGAGATGGAGAATTTATTTGCATTTCATCATCTTTTTTTCACTTTCCTTTTCACAGCTATCTGGAAAACAATAGTCTCGAGGCATTTTTTTCTAGAAATCATTCTGATTTTCTAGTCTGGAATCTTAGGTTTTACGCCGCCGCAAGGAAAAACCGTGAGTCCAAACAGAGACCAGATTAAACAGGCTTTATTGGGAGCACACGGGCGGGTTTCACCAGCTCAGAGAGGGGAGCAGGAGAAGCCGCGCCCAACCTGGGCAGGGGCAAGGTTTTATACTTTTCTGAGGCAATTGTTGCTGGCCGAAACTGGTGGCAGTCGGGGCTTTCCAGGGTCAGGTGAAACCTGCGGTCTGTCCTGCGGTTTGGTCATTTTCCGGAGCCGTTTGTCCGGCAGAGATTTTTCACCGGGGTGGGGTGGTTTCCAGACGTCAGTGTGGACAGGTCAGCTTCTCACCAGCCCAAGAGAGGGAGGGGGTCCTTTCGCCCCGGGGCAGGGTGCCAGCGAATACCAGACATTCCGGACTCTATGATGGGATAAGAGGACGACGTGATCATCTGGAGAGGGAGGTATATGTGAGAGGAGGGTATAGGGGTTGGGGACCTCTGGAGAGATAGGGATTACAGCCGAATTGATTATGCGGAGGTCCTGAACCAGTCTATACTGCCCGTTGGGTTTTTTAACTGGGAGGACGGGGGAGTTACAGGGGGAGTTGATGGGAATGAGGAGCCCCTGGGTTTTTAGCTTGGTGATTATGGGGCTAAGTCCCATCCGGTGAGTGCGAGAGATGGGGAACTGGGGGCGGTTAGGATAGGAATGAGGAATTTTCAGTTTTACAAGGGCTGGTGTATGATGCCTGGCCACAGAGGGAGTTTCAATATTCCAGACCCCAGGGTTTACTTCGGGTAGAAGAGGGTGTGAAGGAGGGGAGGGGGCGTCGGACATATAGTCCAGGAGAACAGCTATGAGGGGGTGGTCCGAGGAGGAGAAGGTTATGGATGCGTGGAGTTTAGTTAAAATATCCCGCCCCAGTAGGGGGACAGGGCAAGTTGGGATAATGAGGAAGGAGTGTGAAAAAAGGCGGTCTTGGAACTGGCAGGCTAAAGGAGTTGTTTGCCTGGGGGTTGAGGGGGACCCATCTATCCCCGTAACTGAGATCTGGGAAGGAATACTAAGGCCCGAATGAGAGGGGAGGACCGAGTAGGTAGCCCCCGTGTCTACCAAAAAGGAGATAGACTTACCCGCTACCTGGAGAACTACCCTGGGCTCGGCGAGGGTCACCGGAGTCGTGGAGCCAGGACTACTTCATCGTCCGCCAGCCCGAGGAGCTCCATTGCTGGGTATACCTGGTTCTCAAGCCCCCCACATGGAGATGTAGAGGGCCGAGCCAGGGTCGGACAGTCCGACCTCCAGTGCCCAGAGCGTTTGCACAGAGGACAGGGCTTTGTTGGCGGCCGGGGCTGGGGGCACGATTTAGCCCAGTGGCCTTCTTTACCACATTTGAAGCATGCCCCTGGTGGGGATCGGAACCCACCCTTTGAGGGCTGGCGCCGACCCGGTTCCCCTGCCGGCCGCAGAGCCGCCACCAGAGCCTGGGCCTGAAGGGATACCTTCTCACGGAGCCGCTCCTGTCGGGCGGCTTCTGCCGTCTCCTCCCGGGCATTAAAGACTTTAAAGGCCATTTTTACCAGGTCCTGTATGGGGGTTTCAGGGCCCTCCTCAACCTTTTTGAGTTTCTTTCTGATATCGGGAGCAGATTGGGAAATAAAGTGTGAGGCCAGGACAGTAGCCCCGTTGGAGGAGCTAGGGTCAAGACGGGTGAATTTTATGAGGGCTTCTTGAAGGCGGTTAAGAAAAAGGGCAGGGTTTTCATCAGCTTGTTGGGTGATTTCTCTTAATTTATCATAGTTTACTACTTTATTGGAGACAGCATCCATCCCTCTGAGGAGGTATCTTAGCGGGGTGTTACGGTTAGGGATGTTAGAGCCTTGCCCAGTCTGGTAATTCCATAAAGGATCCTCCCGGGGAACAGCCTGCTCTCCTATGGGGACAGTGGGATCTACTTCATGGTCCCGGTCAGCCTGGTGTCGAGCCGCGGCGATGATACGTTCGCGCTCATCCGGGGTGAGGGAGGATGAAAGGAGGACATGTACATCATGCCAGGTTAAATCATATGTCTGAGTTAAGTATCGAAATTCTTTTATATATGAGGTCGGATCAGCCGAGAACGATCCTAGGCGTTTCTCAATTTGGGAGAGATCTTGGAGTGAGAAGGGGACATGAACCCGGACCAGACCTTCGCCCCCGCTACCTCGCGGAGGGGGCAAAGAGGGGCCGGGGTTGAAGAATGTGAGCGGGTATGAGAGGCAACCGGAGAGGAGAGCGAGGACGGTTGAGGTTCGGGTTCCTGAGCCGGGGATTTCGGGGGAGGAGAAGGGACAGAGGGGGTTTCGGGGACGGCAGGAGAAGTCGGGGGACGAACGGCTCGGTCAGGGGGACGGTAAGGAGGAGGAGAGGAGAGGAGGTCAATGAGGTCAGGGTTATCGGTTGAATCAGAGGTTTTGGGGGGAGGTGGGGCGGCGGGTGGGTCGGGATTTTTGGGAGAAGGCGGAGCAGTGGGAAGAGGAGGGTTGCTGATGGCTAGGAGTATCTGACGGGTTGAGCAGGGAGAACAGAGGTCGGGGCGGGAACGTATGTCCCAAAAAGCCTGGACGTAGGGGACCTCAGAATCTTTGCCCGTGCGCCGGCAGTAATTAAGTCTGTTAGAACATTAAAGTCAAAGGTGCCAGTTGGGGGCCAGCGGGACTGGTTATCTAGAGGATATTGAGGCCATTGTTGTTGTGAGAGAGAAATTAAGCGTTTGGCCTTGAGTGTCTGAGTATACCCCAATTTGGAAAAATTTTTAAGGAGACACC